GGGGGGGGGGCAGAATATTGTATGGACCTTCTCCACTCCGAGGTGCGTGGTCCTTCAGCCCCCATTCGGTACCTGGACTCCTGCAGGGTCTGGATTTCTTCCTCCCTTTTATGAACTGAGGTGGATCGCCACAGCACAGGGCCCGGCCCCCTCTCCCTCTAAGCCCGGCTATTCTGCGCTCACATGAGTGGCCACAAGGAACAAAAAGATCCAGGGCGCGGTCCTTATCTCGTGTAGCTTGCTCAGTCCCCACGCAATGCGTTACCTTGAACACCGCGAGCCTGTGGAACCTGTGGAGAGTCTCCCTTTGTGCCGAAGAGATGGCGCAGCCTGCAGACCAAGCTCTTGCTCAGGGATTTCCGGTGTGGAAGTTAGCGGAAGCACCCTCTGACCTTTGCTGTCGAGTTCTCCATTGGCTAGCTCCAGGGGCGGGGCTGATGGCACACACGCACTCTCTTTTGGAATGGGGAAGTAAAACAATGCAGGTTAACGTTCATATTCAGCTATTTAGTTCCTCTACGGCCAGTCGTAAAAGAAAGTCAGAAAAAAGTGTCTGCCATTAACACACGATTATACATTATGTGAGGAAAATTTGGAGGGGAACCTCATTTAACCAATAGTTGGCATAGGTTCAATATACAAAAAATGTACTTTGCAATGTATGGCAACAACCTCAGCTGGAATATAGTCTATTCCTTTGAAATAAGCAGCATGGGTAGGGCTTCGCATCACTCAAACCGAAGAGGAAAACCTGAAAATCTGGAGCGAGGCAGCAGGTTGGTACTAAAAGTGCTGGAGTTGAATGAACTGGAGAGAAGGGAAGAACTTGCAGTTCCCTTTGACAAACAGCGGCTTGTTCTTCTGTCCTTCACAAAGATAACCTGCGGCTTCCATGGGTCTCTTTTCATAAAACAAAGTGCCGGACTTTGGATTTGGCAGTGGTTGGGAAGAAAGAGATCTAATTCCACATTCTTTCCACCTCCTACTTTCCCAAACAACTTCCTGACCTTGGGAACACGCGATTTCTAAGTATGCCATTCCACACAATGCAATGATTTAGCCCCAGCTGGTCCCCTTGAATTGGAAGGATCTTTACATGCAGACACTTAACTTCCTCCCACCTTGAAACCTTTCTCTCACCTAATTCTATTAAAGAAACTACACACACTCACTTGTTACTTCTCCCTGTCCCCTTTTCTTCTCCTTTTTCTTAGAGCCACTCTTTCTTACTGTATGCTAGAAAGGTTCCCTTTTATTATGTTTAGTGTTTACTGTCTCTGCAGGGTTTATTGTCTGCACACAGGAGAGAGCATGCTTTTATCACTAACCTAAGCCTAGTGCCTAAAACATATCTGCAACACCACCAACGCGTTGTTGTCAAGCCCATTATGAGTCCCAGTAATCCTTTAGGATGGAATAGATCTGTCCCACAGAATTTCCAAGTCTGTCATTTTAATAGAAACAGATGGCTACATTTTTCTTCTGGTGAGCAGCTGGTGAGTTCAAACTCACAATCTTTCGGTCAGCATCCAAGCATTTAAACTCTGTGCTACCAGAGTTCCTTTGGGACACAGTAGATTCTCAATGATAAGTGGATGAGCAAATGAAGGTTTCTGCGTTTACGTAGAATGTCTGACAGTTACTTGAGAATGTTGTTACAGCAAAGATTTGTGAGTGACTGCTTGGCAAACTTGCTTTGATTGTTCAAGGCCACTCTTGACTTTGGACTGCGCTAGGCTGAATACCAGCACATTCTTATTGCGCAGCTTCAGTTGAAATGTTTGTCATGTTCCCACAGCACCTGTCAGTGCAGACCTACTGTAATGTTCAAAATAATACCTTCTCTTTAGCTGCTCTATATTGACTACTTCATGTTTAAGGAGACCTAGGGCACCACTTGGACATATTGAAATGTTCATCAACTGTATCTGCAGTTGAGGTAAATTATTTAACAGGAAATTGTCCACAAATCTTCTCAATATATGAGAATTCCTATTTAGGTGGACATTTGTTGATACAAACCTTACCTCTAGCATGTAATCCAAGTTATATTTGCATGTAAGTAGGCCAATTGCATTTTGAAATTTTTTAATTAATGCTTAACCTTTTAAGACTTGACTGAAGACTGGCATTCTCTTTTACTTCATTTTTACTATATTTTTAAATGGATAATTTCATCACACTGGGTTGTCTAGAGAAACAAATCCACTGACCGTCGGATGATGTATAAGAGCTTTCTATCAAGAAGACTTCCCCACCCAGTGCAACTGAAATCCATAAGTCTGATGCTAGTCCACAGGTCCCTCTTCAGACTCATGTAGTCGCATGCCAGTGATGCAGAAATGCGAACCTGGAAGCAGGAAGAGCAAAGGCAGGTAGGTGCACAGTCAGTGGAGTGCATCCAAGGTCAATGGCAACATGGAAGGGCACCAGCAACTCAGACAAAGTTCCAGCAGGCAGGAAGATGGAGGGGCAGAAAGAGAAATTGTCTCTGTCCTTAGTGCTCTTATTAAAAAACACACAAACTTATGATATTAAGGAGATGTCATCAGACTGCCATTTGATTGGCAGGTTTGATTCTACCACTAGCCAGTACAGTGGTGTCTAGTTGATATAATAATTACTAACAACCATAGCAATTGACAAGAGATGTGAAGGAAAAAAACATACGCAGAAAAAATATCTATCAAAATTTATGTATAATTTCATTAGTGTTTACCAAAGGTAGATTTAATTTTAGGTCATCCATTTTATCTGTCTTTAGTTTCTTTTACTTCCTTTCCAAAAGGTGAATAATAGAAATGTGATTTCTTGTACTTCTCAAAGAGAAATTCTTTCAGATTTGTATAATCCTATATAAGATACTATATCATCTTATTTTTATTTGTCAACAATTTTATATGTTCTTCTCTACTAAGTGTACATGTCCTGTTGCACTGTAAGAGTGACTTAGATGTGGGTTCTCCATAGCACAGAATTGAATTGTTTATAACTTTACATAAAAATATTTATTATCCATCGTGTTGTTGCATGGATGACTGAATAAGTGAACGGCTTGGACCGACACTCCTAGCTCCTCTTTGAAGATTTTTGGTCATTGCAAGTTAGCTGCAGATCCTTTGACAGTGCTAGTTACTATGTTTCATATGTTACTGATAACATTAACTTTCAGGGTGAAATCCTTCAGTATGAGTCACTTAATCTTGACTTTTCAAAAATTTGTGTGGACCTCACAATATTCTGGAAGGCTGAGTTCTGTTGTATACAAAAGGGATTTGCTTTTTTTGTGTATTTTACAGGTGTTAAGCCCTTTATGAGCATGCAAATAAGCAGGGGAAAGGGTGTGCGCGTGTGTGATGTTTTTAACATTAATTCCCCAAACACAAAAAGATAGATCTATGCATTTAGACTCTCCATATAAAAGGAACAAAAGGGGGGAAGGGCATCCACGAAGGCATTGGATTTGTACAATTCATTGGCCACATTATTATGTAATTGGCGAGAGGTAATATTAACCAACTTCATGATCCGCATCATCTGTTGAATGCTTTCTATATTGAGGAATTCATTGTATTTGAGAGAAAACCATTCCACTGGTAAGATGGATTGATGCAATGCTTCCTTTCCTGAGTTCAGAACAGCCTTCTTTACAATCTCCCTGCCTTGGCTAGTGCCATTGGCAGTACAGGACGAGTTCCCTTCCTTTTACTAAAGACAATTCTATGAAAATACGAAAGCAACTGTCTTCAACTCCTTGATCTCCAAAACCAAACTCACTGCCATGGAGTCAAGGCCAATTCAAAGCGACCCTATAGGACGGGGTAGAACTGCCCCTGTGAGTTTACAGACCTCCCCAATAGTTCTTATCCGGATTTGAGGCTTTTACTTCCTTCAGCCATCAACTGTCTGATGTGGGCTACATAACTCAACTTCCTGTATGCTCTTCCTTAGGCACAACCCAGTCCATAACTTAGCACTCCAATGAGTCAAGCCTTGTGTTTGTTCGGGCACATATGTAACTCAATGGAAAAATGACAAAGCACCTATTGTGCACAAGACGTTAAACTAATCAAACCCACTGTGACTCTACAGACCAGAGTAGAACTGCCCTTAGTGTTTCTAAAACTATAAATCTTTACAGAGGTAGACACCTTCATCTCTCTCCCTCAGAGCCTCCTAGAGGTTTGCACCACCCACTTTTCAGTTAGTAGGCCAATATTTAAACCCTCACACCACCACAAAATATTGAGGGTAGTTGAAAACATCTACAAGGTCTTTAGGGACTTAGAACGTCACCGTCTGGTGGGACTTTGGCACTGGTGTTATTTGAAGCTCTCTGGGTATTCTAATGTGCAGCCACAACTGAGAGCTAATGAGAATTTTAAGACTATGTTTTATGCAACAACTTATATAATACATCAGATTGTTTCAAAGATATGATTTAGCAAAGTTTGAATACATGTGCTGTGTTTCTGAAAAACAAAATTAGTGCAAATTCATCACCACATTTGTTGAAAGAAGTTTCCATTGAAAAATTTACCAATAATTTGCTAAGTAAATGAAAGCAAGCTTCCTTCCAAGTGTGACTGTCACACAAGTAATCATTACAAATGATGTTTACATCAAGATTCATGTGGGTCCTCTCTTCCTTCTCCCTCATGTTTCCTATGGTCACCCCCATCTCTCCTCTCTCACCACTGCTTCTCACACCCTTCTTTCTGTGTCTATTGTTAATCATCAAATTTTGGTCCTTGACATCTCTCAGCAGAGCTACCCAAGAAACAACGGGAGCTAGCAGAGAATGGTGCCATGGGGCATCCTGTAGTAGTTTGCAAGTGCCTCCTACTGCCAATTGTTGGGATCTCCACATCTTAATCCACCTCACTTTAGCTCCAGAGTCTCTTTCTAAAGCAGAGATGAATTGAGATCATGCCCATCAGCATTATCTTCCACTTGGTTCCTGTTTTCAATAAAACAAAAAGAAATCAGTCAACAGAAAATGCACAGTGCCTCCTCTGTGCTAGTCTAACTACCCATTCAACATAAGTTCTTTCACCTCTCAGAAAGTATTCTCAAAATTGGCCATTCAAATGTCTATGGAATTTCATGTCTCATGCTGCTTTTGTCCAAATGGATTGGCTTACTGGAAATTCACAACGCATCCTCCTTTACCTAAATCCTCTCTGAATCAGTCACCGTTCTCTCTGTTATTCGTTCCACTAATCCAGAAACGGACAGAGTTTCAGTACTTTATAGAAATTGGTAGGCCTGCCCAGGAACACTGCTTATTCTAATAAAGGTTATGTCTTGGTATTTTGTTAAAGGGCAAGTGATCCCAGAACAGAACTACATCCACCAAAGCAAGGGATGCATTCTTTCGAATTCTTACAAACCTGTGATATTCTCAGCATTCTCTCACCTGGAGGGGGCTCCTACTATGAATGCCACTCGGATGGGTTTC